AATTTAACTTTCATGTTATCAATTTTAAATATACAAATTAAAGCAGATCTTATCAAATGCGATATGTGAAATAAGAGTAAATCTTGTTTTATAACTTATTCATCACCTCTAAAAAATTGGTCATCAAAAGAACATGAAAATAGAAATTTACCATAATTGTTATTTCTACTTGTCAATGAATACAATGTATTACAAGACCATTTTGAAAAGTCCAACATTTTAAACAAAATGTACATGACAATACATAGAAAAAAATTAAACAAAAAGACCCTAAAAACTGCTCTTCTATCTTTTTTTAGTGTGCCCCTCCCACCCTCACCCCCACCATTATGAACCAATGGAACGTCCATAAATTTCCGTCGCTTTGGTTACCCACTCGTGGATACTAATTTCTCCCTTGTAGCTTGGAAAACTCTAGGACAATATTATGTCCCACTTTTTGGTTCTCACCAGCGGTGGCCAATTTGAATACCTGGTGTAAATGAGATAATATTACCTTCTAAGTGGAGAAACATTTGGGCCCAGTAGGATAATGTTTTCATTGAGATATCGATAATACAAGAGATTCTCTCTTCATAGTCATAGCAAATAACCCCTGTCTAAACCAAACAAATCGTTTCTGTTCGTATCATACACACTTATATTTATATAATAAAATATTGAAGCGGCTGATTTCTAAAACAAATTCAAGTTTTCCTTTGAAATTTAGTTTATAATAAAGAAAATCCATCAAGATAACATTGACATTAACATAATATATGGTCTACCGGTACAAAGGGACTTGAGGGTCATCACTGTCCTAAGAATAAGAAATAATATAACTCTGAATTCATATATCTAATTCTGAGCAAAGTGGATGAGGCCATGTAATAGGTTATATCATATTTACGTGAAAATCAGTCAATGAGCACAGACAAATGTTCAGTTTGAAATAAATTTATATATATTTTTAACAAGATACAGACAGTTAAAATAATTAAATAAATACAGGAACAAATAAATACTATAAAAAGAAGAGCCCTTTAATAGTCAATACAAAAATAATACCCCAAAATTCAAGCAGTTCACGTATGTAAATGACAAAGGTAAATGCTAAGATTTTAAATCTTTCATTAAATTAATTTTCAATGTAAATCACGAGGTAAAACTGGTGCAATGGTTTTAAAAAATCCATTACATTTCATATGCATTTATTTGACCGATGTTGAAGACACCATTTGCCATTTCGTTCAAGCGTAACATGCAATGCACTCATTAAATCTCTCTGTTTTTCATCTTCTTAATCGCACATCTTCTCCTCCGGATGAAGTGGTGGGACGGATAAACGGGCCTTGGCAGGCGACGATCGCAGCGACTGTACTCCCACCGTAGTTAGATTGCTATAGATGTAGTTACGCAATCATTTTATTCGAATGCCATAGTGCTGAAGTATGTTAATATTTAATTTCTGCATGACGTCACCATAATGTCACGTGTTACTTTATATCAAAGTCTCTGAGTCTACGATGACGTCACGCAGTTACAGATATCATTGTTCCGGTTTGTGCGCATTACGTATCCATGACAACGTTGCTTGGATGAATTTCGGTGCTTGTAAACTGTTAGCACTTTCAACCTTGTCGACTTCTATAATCTGTGAAAGACACACAAAAAAAACACAATATAAGTACAGCGTAAAAATGTTACTCTAAAATAAGATATCATGGTCATTTGCGTTCATGCAAGTTCAATGACCGAGGAATAAATGACGCCTCAATCAACGATGGGAATAGGAATTTCAAAAAAAAGTAGATTATTACTAGGGGAAATACCGCCACCCACTCCCGGAAATCGTCCTTGAATATATTCCCTACGACAAGAAAAGCGCCATTATCTGAATAACATTTTGTCACGTAGGAAAAGGTCAGTGACCGGTCGTCCGATTGAATGTCACAGTGTTAAAATTCTAATCGTTGTACGAAGACACATTATAATGTATGTAAGTATGTCTAGTAGAAAGACCAGTATAGAGTACTGCGCATGCACGTAACTAGCTGGCGTCGGGTTCACATTCACGGTATAATTCGTACATGTATACATACACGACGGCCGTTCGGCCATTCTCAGTTAACCTAAGCTCTGTTTCAAACTGCGAATATACAAAACCGTGCTTCCCGAGTCCGGTTGTGACCGGACTCAGGCAGCAAACGTACATAACAAAGAAGCACGGACGGATTGATTGGGAGGTCCCTGCGTACTCTACAGTGTATCATAGTGGAGGGTCGATTCGTAAACGTACCTGTTCTTCTTTACGCTCGTGTATAATATCTCGCTCTCCCATCATTAAAGGCACTGGGTCAAAACCAGGAGTTGTAAATCCAAGTAGAGCGAATTTGCACATGTCCACCTTTCTTTGCTCAGTCATTTAGAAACAGCTTATTTTAGGAAAACGATTTGTAGCACTGTAATAACTCGCGTTGTTCAGGAACTGCACAACTGTCTGCGCTGACGTGTTTTATATATGTTGGCGGTAGGCGTGGCCAACGCTCGGTAGAAGTTCATTCAATCCGTATATGGGAATCAAACCGCCATGATGTCATAACTCATTATCTGTATCCATAGCAACCTGCGTCTGATTGGCTATTCATAAACATCACGTCATGCACGCCTAACACTAGACCAGTTCTGGTCGGTTCATGAATGACAGAATGTACTAGGACTTGTACAATGGTAATAAACAGATATCACTACTTGTTGTCGTTTATGGCACAATGTGTGGAATGTGTTTACGGCCGACTCGACTTTATGTTTTTTTGGGTCATTGTTTATGCTGGCGTACACAATTTCTTCACATAACATTAATCGACACGGGCGATAACAAAATAAATTATCGAGAGTGTCATTAGCCCTTATCCTGAGGTACCATGTACTTTTACGTTGACTGGGAGATATAACAACACAGATATATCTGACAGAAAATGTCTATGTTGTGAAAATAACGCCATAGAGGACGAAAACATTTTCTTTTAACATGTGATCTCTACGCGGGAGAAAGAAAGCTTTATCAGCTGTTATCACTCCCAACATTTAGCAAACAATAAAGAAAAATTAAAATATATTTGAAATAATAAACTGATAAGAAAACAATAACACAAATAGCAAAATACACAGAGAACGAAAAAGAGAGGAAAAACTGAAAACATTATAGTCAGCTATCTCAAGATAATGTCATGTACATGCAATAGTTGTTTTTTTATTTTA